TACTATTATTATTACTTATTACTTATTAATTTAATTAATTAATTAAGTAAGTAATAATAATAATAAATACTATAGTAGTATATATATATTTTTTTGTGTTCTAAAATGAATATTTGAAAGCTGAACAAATTATTTTTTTGAATACCCAAATAAGTGAGACTCAAAGAAGCTTAGGAACAGCTTTGCTTTATACATTATTAGAATTAAAATGAATTTTGAATGGGTACTCTTTTAATGAAATAATGAAAGCATTTCCTTGTTGAATTTGAACTCATGGTGTTAACAAAACAAGTGACTGGAAGTTTTTGAATGTAATTTACATATTGCAGGGCTTGTGTCATTTCCCCTACAATTCTACACTTCACCACAGGACTTAGTGTGCAAGCAGTGTAAAAGAAGTTGGAAATGATCTAAAAAAGAAACCTAAAGTATAAAGCTATAAGATAATAATCTAGACCAATGATTCCAAATTTTTTTCTCACCAAGGACCAATTAGGTCCAGTTCCAAAATTTCTTGGGACATTTTGTACAATCTTAATTTTTTAACTTTCTTGCTCCTGGTGCCATCAATTCAACCTAAAAATTGACCTTTAGAGTTTCCATACTATAACTTCTAATATGTTTTGTGTATATTTACGAAATTTCACAAGCCTTCATTAAAATTTTCCCATGAATATATGGAGTCAAATTGTTGACTGCTCTTAATGTAAAGTGATTTCCATGTTAAGATTTAAATTGCATTTGCCTAATTTCTAAAATCTCCTAAATAATGTTTTGTTTTCAGAAAGACTTTATATTAAATCAGTTGATTTAAACACCATAAAAAAATTAGGAAATGAATATAACCTACCTTTTTCTTTCTTTCTAGAGTGAGAACACAGCATGTACTGCAAATCCTTCTTTTTATGTAAATCTTTATTTGTTGTTATATATTTTTCAATAAAAGTATTGAACATGTAAAAATGAGGAACTTCTCAGTTTTAGCTTAACGAAACTCCCATAAAATAAAATATCTAAATTTCACAAGTCCAAGTCTAAGCATACCTTGCACATATTTTATGTGCTGTTTATGGTACGTCTACCTTGTGAGCACCCAGTGAGTAAGTTAGGTAACAGATTTAATGGGAGGATGCCAGAAAATGCCAACATGCTTCTCCCTCCAGTAAAGAATACTTCAGTGAGAGTAACAGGAAGAAGATTGTGAGTTGACAAATGATTACACAGAAGGAAGAGACAGGTTCGAGAACCACAAAAGGAAGAAGAGCAGGCCAAATAACAGCATATTGAACGAACAGGATATAGTAGGTGATTGGGCTCTGAAGGAGAATAAAGGTGGGAATGGAAGAATGAGATACAGGGATGAACACATTATCACCTTATACACCACAGATGTTTTATGGAGGAAAGCTCAATCCAGATAGAAAAGAATATACCAGTAATGAAATTGAAGGAAAAAAAGTGATGGCATACAAATCAAAAAGTAAGAAGGGAAAAGAAATAAGAAAATAAGTTGTTAAGAACAGATGGTATAAGAAAAAGGAGGCCAAAAGGGAGGTGGGGTAAAGGCATGGAGAAACACATTAAGGACCCAGTCAGGTAGGCTAAAAGAATGGGGAGAGCTGTGGAGGGAAAAAAACTGATTTAACTGGAAAACCAGAAAGTAGTCAAGATAACTGCCCAATAAACAGCATTAGTCAAGGTAGACCAGTCCTGTTCAAATGCCATGTGAAGAACACAAGTAGGTGCAGAAAAGATGGACAAAAAAGGTGAGAAAGATTGATGCCAAGATCAGTAATGATAAATACACCACTTCCATTGATAAACTCTTAAGGATGGTGGGCATAGAGAATGGGACAGGAAGAAGGCTACATATGATAAGACTCCTGACTGTCCAGCAAGGAACAGCACAAATCCAATACATGAAGACAGAGTTAAGACATGGCTGGATGGAAGAAAAAAATAAAAGGTTGAAAATGAAGGGCATGGGAGAGCAGAAGAGGAAGAGGAGGGAAGGAAGTCAGAAGTATTATCATACTTTAATTCATGATTCTATCTATCTTTACTGATATTATTTGTACATAAATATATATATATATAGTATTTCTACATACTAGTCCGAGTGCTAAGTGATTTCGAAGTTATGATTAAAAACACTCTTCTTTGTCTCAAAAATCTCAACTTTTATTTACGTAATCTCAAAACCTACTAAATAAATTTCAAACGTTTTTTTTCAGTAAAACTTTATATTTTATCTGTTATTTTTTCTACCCTAACTTTATACAAGGTTGGTCAACTTGAATGACCTTAAAACCACCAAAAAGAAATCAAAATAAATGTAAATTACCCTTTTTTCTTTCTTTCTAGTATGAATTCAGATTGTAATATGAAACTACATTTGTTTATCCTAAATAGCTTTAAACTCATAACAGTATACATCTATTTATACTTAAATTGTATTGTTTTATTGTCCCTTGAACACTGTCTAACTATTATTTTGGCTGCTATAAGTTGTAAAGCACTTGGCAAACATGCAACTATCAAATTACATTACGTACAAGTTAATTGTGAGTTGCTCGCAAACGTACATTGTAAAAACATTTTACAATATTGTTATTACTTATATGACCTAATCTATCCTTAACTAACATGAAAAGTTTGTCATTTTTACAGTTTAGTTAAGTTTTTGATAATAAATAATGAACACACATGAAAAATACTTACCTGGGTCTTTTTTTTTTTGCTGTTGACTGTTGATGACACTTAACCCTACTTTTTGTACTAATGGTAGTATTGCACTAAATAATTTTTTATCTAATTAAGTAATGTACCAAATAACATAGAATAATAACATACAAAAAGCAGACAATGTCCCATAACTATCACAATTTTTCTGGCTTTCTAACTATGTGACAAGAGGCCTTTAAAACTTCATCTAAGCTCATGGATGTGTTTCATGCAGAAATCAAGCTTGAACTGAAAGAGAAATTTACAATTCCTTTTTACTGAAAACAACATAATATAATTCATCATTTCATAGATAAAAACCTTGGCTTTCTATTGGTTATAAATACAATAGCATTGAATGTCAGAGAGAACTATTGGCAATTTCTGAAAGAGAGGATGTGACACATGGGCGTGGCAAGAGGAGTCTGGTTGTCAATTGCATAGCTCTGTAACCAATTAAGATTGAAGGCTATGAAAATTATGCTTTGCCTGAGTGATGATAATATTGTAATAAGTAATGTAATGTTAAATTTTGTACTTCTTAGATGAGTGGTAAATAAATTAGAGAAGAGAGAATGCCTGAAAAGCAAATGTAAGTAAGAACTTAAAACTTATATGATATTAATATATGGATTATTAGCTATGTTTTTATGCTTTATTTGTTGGCATACCATGACAAGAAAGTGGTTTAATTAGATTTTGAACATACTTCACAAAAACGTCATGACATACACAGAAAATAATGCCTGCCATGAGAGGGTTAACTTTTGTTTTTAAACTATTATCACATCTTTCATGTAATGTACATGTTTCTTTTGATTGTTTGTTTGTTTTTGAATTTCGCGCAAAGCTACCTGAGGGCTATCTGCGCTAGCCGTCCCTAATTTATCAGTGTAAGACTAGAGGGAAGGCAACTAGTCATCACCACCCACCGCCAACTCTTGGGCTACTCTTTTACCAATGAATAGACCATCACATATAATACCCCCACGGCTGAAAGGGCGAGCATGTTTGGTGGGATGGGGATTCAAACCCCTGACCTGCAGATTGCGAGTCGAGCACCATAACCACCCGGCCATTTCTTTTTCTTCAATGTCTCCAGTTATGACTGGATAGCCTCCAAGGTCAACTCTTCTGGAACATCCAGCTTACATGAGATTGATATTTGTACCTATATATTACACTGCACTCACTAATCATCACCCTTTATTCTCCTGAAGAAGAATAGCTAAATATTTGAAACAGTTTGAGTTTAGGGTCTTTTTTTGAAAATCATTACAAAAAAAGTTTTATATTTCATCATAGGGTCGACAGCAAAAGAAAAAAAAAAAGAGGTCAAACGTTAGTACTAAACTTCTTATTTTTGTATGTATATTTTTAGTTATTGTAACAAAAGTGTAAAATCTAGAAATCTATTAGGTGAGATTTGGTAAAATAATGAAAAATAATAGTAATAAAAGAAATTTTTCCATGAAATATGCTCACAAATACCTTGTAAATTCTGTCATTCAATACATTAACTTAAACTACATATTCACCAAGTGATTCACAGCTTGTATCATAGGATTATTAGTTAGACATGTTTAAAATATTAAAATCTACAAATGAACAGCATTTTATACC